TCGACAATAACAAAATCAATACAAATTCAAAATAAATATTTGTTTACGTTATTAACGCATGCGCAATGAGAGATAATGTCTGCGTTGGACCGACTGCTCACGCTGAGCTAACAAAAAAGTATTTTTATGGCGTCAGCTCTACGTCAACTTTCCGCTGACGCCCAAATAAGGCGCTAGTTCTAAGAAACCAGGCATTGAGCTAACAAACCAGTATTTTGTTGGCGTCAGCGGGACGTTGACGTCCCGCTGACGCCCAGATAAGGCGCTTGTCCTAAGAAACCAGACCTTAACAGTAGTTATGGCTTGTGTTCCAGGCATACTGGTTCAGCGGATGTGGCAAGCATCCCTTTGAAATGCGAAGAGAGGATGTTGTCGACGAGTCTGTAATGTGATCATTGACAAATCCAGAGAGCTGTGATGGCTATGGGGATAGAGCCGATGAGGTGAACCGGGTTTGAATCCCAGCTATGGCTGGTCGATACGAATTCCGCCTCCGTCTTGCACCGACCACATTGCTGACGCAAAATATCCTCAGTGGTAGACGATCATGGTTTAAAAACCCCTTGCCATCAGATTAACAGTAGGGGGGGGGTTCGTGGTTTTCCTCTCCATGCAACGCAAATACCGGTTATTTCCATCAAAAAGTCCTCAACGAATGCAAATTTCCCCCAATACCTGATCCACGAGTTCCCTTGTCTTATGGATTGACTTCAAAATTACAAGGCTACGGAGTAGAACATTTGTAGTCGTACACCCAGGGTCGGCAATTTAACGATGGTTATAAAATCAGAGATAGATAAAATTATTGCCAGAGATTTAGCTGCACATTTTAAAGGACCCGATTGGAAAAATCCAACATTTCAAGAAGAAGCAATTAGTCTCGCCGTTTGTTCCTGCCAGTGCGGTACATGATAGAAAATGAGTTATTTAGCTCTATCAGTGGGGAGTTAGATGGTTGACAACGAGTTAGTAGTAGAGGAAGACCCTAACTTTAAAGACGAAAAATCTCCATGGAAAGAAACCCAGCTAAAGATCAAAACAACAGGTAAGCACTATAGGAAAAAATAATGTTGTTGTTCATTTACGTCGCACTAGAGCTGCGCAATGGACTATTGGCGACGGTGTGGGAAACATCCCTGAGGATGATCCGAAGACATGCCATCACGATTTTTATCCTCTGCAGAAGGATGCACCCCCGCTTCGGTAGCCCGACGACCGGCACTCGAAGTCGAGCACTTTACGGTCGAACAGTTTAACGATGACCAATACCGCACACCCTCGGTCCCTACGCTGGCTAATCCAAGTGGTCACCCATCCGACCAGCATCACTGACCGTAGTCAGTGATGCTTGACTTCGGTGATCTGCTGGGATCTTAACCACTGCGGGAAAAGATCCCAGCGGGAAAAAATAATGAAAAGAGCAATAAATGTATATGATGCGGATACAAAAAATAAATTGCAAGCTGCTCTAGACCATTGTATAGAAAAGTCACAAAGCACTAAGTAATTAAACATTGGAAGGAATATTTAGAAAAAAGCGAGAACATAAAAATAATAAAAATCATATAAGATCACAATTGCATCTCCAACGCACGCAAAGTCAACGTGCATGACAGATATTTGAAAAGATGAGCTCTGGATTAAACGCTCAAGATCAGTCTTTATGATTTACAAGCAAGTAAATTTCAGTATCATTTTATACTAAATGTCAAAACTAACCAAAGAATTACCAGTCGAATGGTGACGTATATTTAGTTACGCAAAGAAATTTATTTCCTCAGATGGCTCTTAAGCCTGTGATAGGAGAATTTTAAGAAAAATTTTAACTAATGATTGAACAGAATAAATACAATCTCTACTGCATCCTAAATACAGATCAAAGTGGTTTTCAGAACGAGATTGTATCAAAAGGAAAACTAGATATAAAAGGGTCTAAAAACGTTGCATTATCGGTGTGTAATAGAAACAAAACGATGCACTCTTATATCATATAAGTGATTATTAGCTCAGAAGATAAGTTTGAAGGTCTTTTGCTATTTGAATTACGAGAAACTAAAGGATCATTTGGTTCTAAAGTTATGGCAAATTTATTAGAAACGTTATTCCCAAACATCAAAATTGGGGAAAAATATGAAAACTATAACTAGAAAGTACTTGCATAAATTAAAAGAGGGCATCGATGATAATAACAATCCGTGTTTTCGATCGGTGGAGTAGTAAAACAAATGAAACTTTATGTTTTTTTGAAATGGGATTGAATGTATAACCTGTTTACCTTCCACCAGACACGACGAAATACCTTCAGTCATTGGACGTCCATTTTTTTCAAGACTATAAGAACTTGATAAAACAAAAAACTATATTCAACAAAGCACAGCAGCATGAGTGAACAGTAGACGTCACAATCAGAAAGGGGTATACTTGAAATGCATAAACCTAGTTTATAATTAAATATCTTTTTCCGCCCCTGACGAAATACACCGTTACGCTTTTCAGAAGTCCCCGATAAGAAATACAGACCCTATTTTTCGTTCAGTAAAGAAGATGTGCTTTACCTTCAGCAATGAAATTCACCCTTCACGTGAAACACTGGTGCTTATTATGTGTGCCTGGTGTTTGAAATGCTTGTGCTTCTAACATTTTTATTTGGATATGCTCTATCGCAATAAAAAGGTCCCGCAGTAGACTGATTGTTAAGACACGGTTCGCAGTAGAATACTGAAGTCAGTGTGCGGTTGGGTGACCAATTGGATCAGTATGTGAAGGGACCGAAGGTGTGAGGTATTGGTCCTCGTTAAACTGTTCCACTGTAAAGTGTATTGGAAATATGATCGATCAGATCAGCCGAATCTATGCTTTTTATTTATCTCAGGTTAAGTCTCGGGATGACGTCATAAAAGATCGATGTCAGGCGTTCATCGGGAGTTATAACCAACCATGCTCGTGAGATAATGTTTTCCTCAAGGGAAAAGCCAGTTACTACTCAACTCTTCACCTACTTGAAAGAAAATTTATGCAAGATGTTCAGTAGCTGGTAGTTGGTTGATGACACCGAATCTCGATGTTTAAAAGGACGAAACTTAATCATGCTCTCTTTCTCTCTGCTTTTGTTTTTGATCTAGCTAGTATGTAAGCTACTGTGGAGATCGAGTTAGTGCTGCGGCACGGAACTCGATGTGTAGCTGTTTAGAATATACCCTATTTAGAAAATAGCTGGTCCCGCAGTGGACTGATCGTTAAGACACGGTTCCTAGCAGATCACCGAAGTCAAGCATCACTGGCTACGGTCAGTGTGCGGGTGGGTAACCACTTGGATCAGTCTGCGTAGGGACCGAGGGTGTGCGGTATTGGTCCTCGTTAAACTGTGCTACCGTAAAGTGCTCGACTTCGTGAGCAGGTCGTCGGGCTACCGAAGCGGGGGTGCCATCCCCTCCGCAGAGGATCAAAATTGTGATGGCATGTCTTCTGATCATCCTCAGAGATGTTTCCCAGACCATCACCAATAGCCCACTGTGCAGCTCTAATGCGACGTAAATAAACTACGCCATTGCAATAAATAGTTTAACCCCTTTTTGATTTGCTTTTCATTAATTGTTATTAATATTAACATTTATTTGCTATTGTAAAATACCTTATGGCAAGCAATTTTCTACTCCCGTACTTCATTGCAGATCCTAGATGGACGATGAATCCTATGAGGTCTCACCTCAGCATTCGTCCTTTTTCATTTGCGATTCTCTCTATTGACAGCGGACTTGTTACTCCAACGGCATTATTATTCCTCAAAACAAGACCTTTACAACTGTACCCCTTTTAGCAAAATGCAGAACTGGAGTTTGGGGTACTTCCCCAGTATGTACTCCAATTCTGTTTACGCACTTTGTTTAACTCAAATATTTGCATAGGAGTACACATTTGTGCCTTCTTTTCTTTCTTTTTTTTTTTTTAAAATTTCAACGAATATTTGGTCTACCATAAATGAAAAAACGTAGTTTGCATAAGCCACTCTCAATGATCATAGGTTGCAATGGTTTGCCGTTAATAACAAGGAGATGCTGCTTGGAGATGTTGTCATCGAAGATAAGTTGGTCGTATCTTTATAGTTGGATTCAAAATTACATTAAAGTTATAACAAACATGAAATATGAACTAAATTAAAAGAAAGTTGGGAATTAGGCTTCAATTTAGAATAATTTCTTAATTAACAAAAAATTCTTTGTTTTTCTTGGAAAATGCCGATATTTTGAGGAGAAACAATGATGAGGGTTGGTGAACCGAGTTTGCTTTATTAAGCGGTGCCTTTAAAGATCTACTTTAATGAAAATGAAATATTGCAAAAGAAAGATTAATGAATTGATTGTAATGTTAAACTTGAAAAGAGTGTTTGCTAAATACAGAGATGAGATTGTTATTTTTGGAAAATAAATTATCATTTTACCATAAATAAAATGCTAAAAACTTAGTCACATCTTTAAAAATTTTCTTTAATTTCTGAAAATTTTGTCATAAAATAATACGTATTCATAAATTGTGACATTTTTGTAATATTTTTCAAATCTGAATGTTATAAAAATAAGGACAAAAATTGCAATAATGAGAGTTTCAAAAGATTTAGAATACATTTACAAATTCTTTCATAATTATTTAGAACAAATAGGATGATAACATTAATAATTTGTTACACTTCAGAATACACTTACAAATTCTGTCATAAATATTTAAAACAAACAGGGCACGGTGTTAAAATTTAATGATTTGTTGCATAATGCATTTCAGAATTTCTGAATTTCTCATTAAATTCGTTCTGTTTGTATTTTATTCATTACAAATGAGTTATTGGCTCATAACAGGTCAATGTTATTATAAAATTGTACAAAACATTTTCAAAAACATTTCAAACTTCATAGTATAAAAACAAAAAAGCCTTTATCAATATATACATAAATTATCTAAATATTTTTCAAACATTTTCACACTTTGAAAGTAGTCAAATCTTTGTATAAATAAAATATATACACCAAATGCATTTTTTTATTTAGTCATATTGACCATCAAGCACTTAAAGTGTTTCGTCGAGAAAATATATTTAAAATTACAAGAATTCATAAATAAGTCTATATTATTTCAGTTGATATTTATATTACATTTGTTGATAATTTTTCCATTTTTATGCAATATTATGACAGCTGACATAATGATACATATTAGAGTTTAATTAGCATTGATTTACTTTCCAAAACAGTTATTTAATAAATAACAGCTAATTGAAAAAAAAAATGAAGTGAAAAACTGAATTTAAAATGAAAATGCTTTGAGTTTAGATAGTTGATAATTACGTCTCCGAAAATTTTAAAAAAAATTGCTGTTAGGTGTAAGAATCTTTCGGTTCTCTCAATAAATATACTTCAAATTAAGGAACGAATTGATTGTAAAGATTGATTAGGAAAACGAGGATTAGGAGAGTGGTTAAAATATATTGATTGGGAAATGGAAGTAACGGTGAGATTGGATTCAAAAGAAAATTTGGTAAGAGAAATTAAAAAAAAGCATAAAATAAACCTGTGAATTAAGAGCAAGTTCTGAAAGACTTTTATTTCATTTAATTATGAGAAATTTTATGATGCTACAAGAATCACTACCCTTAAAACATACTTTCTGAATCCTCATTCAAAGTTAAGTAAAAAGGAACACATTAAGAATCATTAATTAATATTTAAACGAAACAGAAACAAAAACTGCGTTGAAAACTGTTGAATCACTGGTAAAGATGGTTGAATAAGAAACATTTAAAATCAGTTTGATTGTCTGCTCAACCAGGTGGTGTTTCTAATAATCACTCCCCTGTTTCGTTCCATAATTGTGTTGATGTTTACGTCTCGCCTTCTCTATTAATGACTCTTTAAATGACGATAGCCTTTTTTTTCCTTGTTTAAATACTGACTTGAAACCCTATATCATTTTGAATTAATTTTTGAGAAGGATTCAAAAAATATATTTTGAGGTAGATGATAAAGGAATGCCTTGTAGGAGTTATTTTTATAATTATTCATTTGTTTTAGATTATTCTTTATTTATTTATTTTATAATTAATTATTTAATTATTTTTTTACCACAGAAAATGCTTGATGTTTTTATGACAAAAGCCGCACATACAACAGCATCCATAGGATGACTGCCAGTCAAATCATTTATCATCACAGCTCTGATGGCATGGAAAAGAAATCAGAGATGATCTGAATCTTTCAAAGACTACTGTTTGGTGGACTAGCATCAAAATCATCATCATCGTCATCTTCAGGTTGAGGTTCAGTCACGTGAACAAGCATTTTATTGGATGGCAGGGATTTCAGCTGGAAGTATGCCGTTCGTGTCAATGGATTCTCTTCCATGTTCAGTTCTTTGAGGGAGGCAGAAGCTTTGATTTTTGAGATGTCAATATCTAAAAACAGAAAGATTCATAGAAGATGAGCCATTCCACGTTCACTTGGTTTTTTAAAAAAATATTTATCGGATGTGACCGGATCTTCCCCTACAAGTAAAACAGTACTCAGTACTTTTTTTTTAAATATTTTAGGGTTAAATGGATCTAGTGCTTTCTATGATGGAATACATTATTATTAATTATTATTATTACTAATTATTTTTTGAATTAATTGCTAGTATTAATTAATTATTAGTATTAATTTTAAATACATTAATTATGGTAAGTTAATTAATCTTTTGATAACTTTTTGTGCGGATTTAATAACTAAAATTTCCATTAATAAACTGACAATAATTGTTTTTTGCATTTTTAAATGAAAATTGTTGATCAACTTATTAATTATTTCATAAAAATTGCAGCAGTAGTATAATAAAATTAAGGACCAAAAAGTCCTTTACAATTAACTTAAATGAGTACAGATAATTAGTAATGTTTAATAACGGTTTTTCAAAAGTTTGATCAAAAAAACTTTTTAATTTGAAATTAGTTCAATATACCCTACCCTGCTCAGTACAAAAATGCACAATTTCATATAGCTTCAACTTTTAACTGATTAAACTTTTTTTACCTGCAATGTAGTTTTTCTTTAAATTCAGGTACAGAAGATGAGGTATTTTGAAGGCAACTTTTGGCAAAATAAGGAAATCATTATGAGAAACATCTAGTTTTTTCAGTTCCTTTAAATCTTTAAGTTCTTCAGGTAATGTACTCAGCCTGTTGTGAGACAAATTAAGCTCTGAAATAAAAATAAAATGTTTAAATAATTTTCTTGCTCATAATTTTTCAAATTTCAAAGCAGAGAACGTAATAAAAACTTATTTTTTAAAAAAAGTTGATTTGACAAAACTGATTAAATTAACAAATATTAACTACCATTTTATGCTTCACTAAAACTACATCTCGTGTAAAAGAAAAACAATTAATTAGATTATAATTTTAATATTTATATAATTTACTTCGTTTATTCATTCTAAGAATGATACGAAAGATGCGTGTATGCAAATTAATACTGCAATACCTGAGTGCGTGCGTGATACTCAGTAGATTTCGAAATAGTGATTTGAACCTCTATGTTCTATTTACTACAAAAAGCTGAATTAATACTGTTGTGATTATCAATAAAAATACATATAATTTAGATCAGAAAGACAATCATGGGTATGTTTGATTAATTATTTTATATAAAAGCAATCTTTGAAGTAAAATTGTGTTTGGTAACTGAAGGATACGAACTAATGATAACCACGAAGCCTGCCAATCATTTCCAAATGAGACTGAAATTCCTGAACATTTATTCTCCTCTTACAATGATTATATCTAAAAAACCAATTTTACTTAAATGTACAAATATTAAAAAAAGAAAATAATAATTTCATCTGTATTTAGCGTCGGTGAGAAGATATTATAGACGCAGGCTAAAATACGTGTTTAAGAAAATGGATTCAGCAAGAAATGGCCTTTTTCAATGTTCTATCCAAATTAAACAACTAAACTCGAAATTTTGAACTAACTTTTCTTTACTTTTACTCATTACGGTGTCAAGTGTCGGAATTCGGGGCTGGGATGAGTGGGCATTACAGATGTAATTTTTCAGTCTTCTCTCCGTATACAAAACACTAAATGATAAAGAAGTTTTAATAAATATAAATTTATACCACAACAATTTAATATGTACCTCTACTTCTAATTTATAGGCCCCTAGACAACCTTGTAAAATAAACTTTTGACTTTTAATTTTTTTTTTTAAAAAAAACTCGTTTAAAAAAAGTTTGAAAAGTGATTTAGGCAAAAGGATGACATCGCACTACGATTGTATTTGAATCCATTAATGCATTCTTTAAAAAAAAAGAGAACAATTTTTATACTGAATCAAATGCTACATCCATTTTCTTAAACACGCATTTTGAGCTGTATCCAGAATAAAAAGCTCACCGACAGCTTTCTTAATAATTTGTTTGAATCGCGTGTTTCATGTCTTCGACACCAACAAACTTTTTTCTATAAATAAGTTTTTTAGTTTCGGAAACAAAATAGTTGTAGTTGCAGGAGCTTTGGCTGAAAAGTATGGTATTCCTCTACCGAAATTAAAAAAAATGCTAAAGGATTTCGAAATTATAACTTTAAACATTATTGCTTGGAACTGAAACATCACGTTACTTTGAAGCATAAACATGTATGTATTATTAGATCAATAATAATAGTCGAAACTTGAAAGTAAAAATTATCATAATCAGTTATTAGCATCAGTTTTTCTCCGTTCTTTAAATGGAAATTAGAATTTTCTTCGATGTTCGATAATCAGCATATTTCTTTCATCCATATAAAAATGAGCGTCGTACCTGTTATATTTACAAATTTGATGGGTAACTGCGCAGGTATCTTTCTGAACACATTGGATGACAAATCACAGGTTAAAACGACAGTATTTCTCATCAAGTGGTAGACAGCTTCTGGGAAGGACATGAGTTGGCACTCGGACAAGTCTGAAATGGATATAAATCATTAATAAACAAACAGGTTGAAACAGTTTACTCATTGTATTCCAATAACAGTTTGATATTCAATTAACAGCTAATAAGAAAAGTTCCCATAAAATAAATGGTCTTAAGCTGGCAGCCCCATTGATTTCGAGGAACCATTAAGTAAAAAAAAATACCAGCAATATTTTATTTTGCGAATACTTTAATATAATAAATAGATAGTCTTTAACCATGGAACATTCAGCTACAAACCATCATCGAAAGTAAAATCAGTAAAGAAAAACCAAAACACAGTTTTGGCACATTCACATTCATTCTAAACAAAATTCAAAATTATAATATTAAAATTTTTTTTTCTTTCAGATTGATGCACATTAGTTCTCTCCTTCTAGTAATTTAAAAGAGTTCATTAAAAACATCAACATTTTAAAATATGTATTCCATTGAGATCAAATAAAATATAACTGGTTATATAGATGTTACATATTCGAAAAAAAGGTAAGAAATACTTGAGCATTCAGTACAAAATGTCAAAATCGTGTTTCAAATGTGTATGTTTTTCGGAACATAAGTACAGAAAAGTCTCAAAACACTCCTGAAACGTTTTTAAAATGTGCCTGGAATGTAAAAATGTCAATTTTTCTAACAATCAGTTTTGAAATATTTCTGAAAATGCTTCTGATGTGTACCCTGATATGAATACCCAAAATTGGTCTACTCAAATGAGAATTTTGAAAGACAATCTTTCAGAAATATTTGTGCTGTTATATGATATTTTTCTAAGAGATTTTTAATAAATCTAAAAATTATTTGCTGTATAGGAATTCACTGCTTGGTTCTCTTATTTTCCATTTCTTTGAGTCCTAAATTTAAGATATTTTATTATTATAATTTTTCTCAACTTCGATTAATTTATTTTTCCTTCATTTTCAAAAACTTTTTTTAAATTAAAAAAAAAACAACCTTTAATAACTGATTAAAAATTAAAACCAATTCCTTGAGCAAAATAATATTTTTAAATGAGTAGTTTGAAAACTACGTAAAGTTTTAAAAACAATATATCAAATCTGTTATTAAAAAAATGTGTTTGGTAACACTGCTTAGGGAAAAATTTAACGGTCGCCACCGGCCGCAGCATGACCATGTTACCCGTGAATGATCGAAATTAAGAGAATGCCTATTTTTACAGCTGAATGTCAACAATCTCATAGTTGCTTAGGTGAATGTCAGAAATATTTGTTACATCCGATTTGATATAAATTTATTCGTTGATATTATTATATTTATTCGATATTTTGATATCTGCTGAGGATAGATTAGGATAACCATCAGTGTTCGGAGTACCGGTTAAATGCATACTGAGCAGTGACACTTGACCTTAAAAAACATTGATGTAGGGCATACCGGGCAGTGGCACTTAACTAGACCTAGTATATATTTCCGACATTTACCAAAGCGACTATGTGATTGTCAACATTCGCCGATGGAAGTCAACAACCACCAACTTCGGTCATTCACAGTAACAGCTGTGTAATAAATGGTGATTAAAAATTTGTTTACCAATCACCATCCGATCACTAATTTTTTTCGTTGTGAACGCACTTTCGTTTTAAAATCTTAACACATTAAAAAAATAAATCTTGTAATGTTAACTATGTTTCACTTATATCAACAGCTTTTTTGAATTTAAAATGTTCAATTTTTGCAAAAGTGGTCACATGTTTCAAAAAGTTGCCACAAGAAAGCCAGTATCAAAACTCCCTAATTTCACCTTGCATAACACTTTCCATTATTGACTGTTGGTTTATTAATTCTGTGTCAATTGTAATTTGCTCAATAAACTTTAAAACTGTTAAAAAAGCCAGTCTCAAAATTCCCTAATTTCACTTTCCATAATTGAATGTTGGTTTATTAATTCTGTGCCAATTGTAATTTGCTCAATAAACTTTAAAACTGTTAAAAAAGCCAGTATCAAAATTCCCTAATTTCACCTTGCATAACACTTTCCATAATTGAACGTTGGTTTAATCATTCTGTGCCAATTGTAATTTGCTCAATAAACTTTAAAACTATTAAAAAAGCCAGTATCAAAATTCTCTAATTTCACCTAGTACAACATTTTCCATATTTGAATGTTAGTTTATTAATTCTGTGCCAATTGTAATTTACTAAATAAACTTATTTATTCTTCATCATTGAAGCAATGGTAGCATAATTTTGCTTTAAAAATAATTTTGAAAGAATTCTTAAAACAAGCATTTATTTTGAGCGAAGTTGCTAAACAAATTTAACAGAGAAAATCAACGAAACAATAATTTCAATGTAGGTTAATAAGGGAAGATGATTTTTGATATCAACCAATTTTAAGTGATGCGAATGAAGTCCGCCAGTTTTACTAAAGTGTGAAAATGTGATCTTTACTTTTTCTGCTAAGACATGACAAATAATTTCCTTTAAAATTAGAAGATATATAGGTTACTTTTCTATTTAATAAACATGAAATATAATTGCAAATAAATGCGCATAATAGGGGCCAATTCCGGTTTATTGATTTCATTTATATACAGTTTACTCCCACAATGTAATATTTTCATAAATATACCATTTATAACGCCAGTAAAGTTTTATCATTCTAGACAAGCGTATTTTGAAACAGAAAAGCAATCGCTCCCTTCAGGTTTCATAAAGAGAAGAAATATTTTGCGTCATTTCTTAAGAAAAGACGCAGTTGGGAAATTGCCAGGAAGCATTTGGGGTGCGATTGAACTGAAAAAAATAAGTCCTTCATGGTTTGAAAATATAAGATCTTATGTTTTTGAGATTGTCTGCCAAAATAATATTTTTTTTTTCCAATTCGAGAAAAATAAACGAAATCCATGTAAACAATCTATATTATATAAAACGCTAATACGTACGTACGTATGTATGTATGTATCAATAAAACCGATGATATTTCTTTTCTCGCGCTGGCAACAGTTTTCATTTTTAATTGATTGGATTCGGCTCGCAAGAGCACTTAGTGAGCAACCAGATAACAATAACCAGAGTGAGCATTATCAGGTTGTTCAATTCTGATTCATGCACTAAAAACATGACAATATTTAATTTAAACTCAATTAGGAATTAATTAATTAATTGAAGTGAGAATGCTTTAAAAGGCCGCTGTTGAATTGATATTTTTCTTCTGGGAGCTACCTGAACGTCTAAAAAAAACGTTTAGGTGTTTGTATTGAATGCATTGAATTTTTTTATATTTCGCGTTTATTTATGCATTGAATGTTCACGCTTTAAAATACAGAATATTAGTGAAGCAATATTTGATAATTTATTTTGCTAATATGTTTCTTATTTAGCTAATGTTTTGATTTTTTCACCATGTACAATCTAAATAGCTAATATACTTTTTTAAAAGCCAATAAGAACATTGGTAGAATTCATCTACATAAGTACAATACTATGTCTTTGATGATAAAATACTATGTCTTTGATGATAATATATTATGTCTTAGTGCTAGAACATTGAGTTCATTGGCGAGCGAGCGCAGCGAGCCATGGTTCACGGCGTGAACCACATAGGATTGCGTAGCAATTCTCGGGGGTTGGCGAGCGTTAGCGAGCAGGCGGCGGAGCCTCCTAGTAGTTCAAAATTCAGTTATCATTCAGTTTAAGTACGAAAATTGATTAGGTAATTACTCAAAATTAATTATTTGACATTTTAAAATGAAAAGTTATTCATATATTTATGTTAACACTGTTGAAATACAATATGCTATTTTTGACTAATGAATAAATAACTTGGTTGAATATTTAAAGCTATCGCACTGCGGCATATTGCGCCGGATGCCAGTATTCTCTTGTATTTGTATTAACATTACTTCCTTCTCCCTCTGCTAAATTATGTAGAATGTGATTTGTCGATCGTCTGGGCTATACAAAAGTTAAATAATGCTTGTTGGTGATCATAAGTCCATTTTAATTACTAATTAAATGCTTCATGTAAATAAATATACGAACGAAATAAAACTGATTTTATCTTCTTAACGTAAGTACTCATTTACTTGGTTATGTTGTCTTATAGTTCTTCAACAGTGCAGTTAAACTAAATGATTGCTTTTTAAGAATCTATTTTTTCATTTTGAAATACATTATTTATATTTTTTTGGATTTCAAGTATTCCTTTAATATAAATAAATTCATAACATTGTAAGTTCATTTGTTTGAGAAAAAAAAACAAGAAAAACTGTACTTTGGGATTTATTCTGTCGACCTGTCAACACTAGCAAAAATACTCAAATTCTTTGGCGCCATCATAAGGATAAGCAATTTCCAAAACAAACATCTTAAACACATTAAATTTTTCAAATAATAATTAAATAATAACAAAAAAATGCAAGCGTAAAAATGCGTAATGAAAAAGTGTAATAAAACGAATCAAAAAGTAAAAACCTCTACTTTTTTTATAATTACGCATTGAACTATTGTTGAATCTAATCATATATATTATTATAAATTCGGCCAAAAAAATCCTTGATAGCGTTTAAAGCGCAAACAAACAAGTCATTATCCTTGTGCAGCCGCCGTTACATAAATTCGTTTAAATACAAATCGGTTTTCGGGTAGTTCTTTTCTGTTAAATAATAATAATTCCTTCGGTGCCATGCAAATCCCAAATTCGAATGATTTTGCTGTGGAGTTAAAGTATATTTCAACACGCTCAAGAAGTCGTTTAGTCAATGATTACACAGTAAATATGATAAAATTTGCGGTTATTGGCGTAGAAGTTACCTTTCGGCGATAATATCGGGTTTGGCAAAAATGGTTGACAGGATAATCCCAAAGAACGAAAATGGTTGACGGGAAAATCCCTAAGTACCGAAAAACTTACAAATAAAAGTAATTGATTCACAAAAGAATGTTTTAATTGCTGACACAATGATAAATCAATAGAAACAAATAAGCGCATAGTTTGATTTTAACGAAATGCTTATTTACTTTACTACCCT